ACGCTGTAACCTTATGGAGAATAAAAATTTAATGTTAGATCAAAAGCTTATATTTAAAAAAGCCGTTTTAATAATATTTTCAAAAGTTCTTGGAATGGTTGTTAACAGAAACCTGCAAAAAAATATATTATTTTATTCCTAAAATATAAGATATCACACAATGCACATTCATATAATATCATTGTGCTAGAAAAATACTAGGTAGGTACTGAGACAATTTAAAAAAAGTTTTTCGAGAAACTCAACTTTTAATGTCATCATTGTACTTAACTTTTTTATTGCTAAATTATTAATAATGTCATTTTGTGTAGTTCGTTGTGATTTGTATAATATATATATTATAAAAACTTATCGTTAATGTAAATGTGCTAAATTTTTTTAATAATTATGTCCTTGTTATATTAAAAACCCATTTAAACACATTTTTAAAGTTTTCTGGATTTCTGTTTTAAATAAATATATCCTATTTCACCAACAAAAATGTAGAATAATTAATCTCACAACAAACGAAAAAAGTCATTTTTAAGGTGTCCTAATAGGTTTTAACTTAAAAACTAAATAAAATTATATTGCAACTGTGTTTAAATAAATGTATGTTTTTATACCTGACTATAGCACCATAATGGGTCTGCATAACTCAAAATAGTTCTAGTATTGTTTTAGCATAACTCCAATAATAAATATTCACATTTTTTTGGGACGTTTTTTAAGGAAATTAAAAAAAACATGAATAATGTGATATTCTTGTTTAGTTTTGTACTATATAATATAGTTCATTAGGTAGTGATTTAGAAGCAAATTATGTTCTATTTATAAAATAAAAAATCACTCATAATATCTAAATATTTATACCTATTTATATTTTGGTCAGGAAGACTATTTTATGTTTTTGGCTCTGAATAGTTTTCTTAAGAATTTTAAAACCTTCCTATGTCTTTTGGGATATTCCATGCATCTCTTAGAAGTTCATTTTGTTTAAACCTAAAACAAATTAAGTACAAAAAATGAAAATTTAAACAATACACAAAATTAGTCTATTAGATTAGTTAAAAAAAAGTGTCAACAAAACAATGGCTCGGCCTTTTTCCTTAAACATTCTTTTTGAAAGAAACTTAAGTTTCTCTACTTACTTGCTGTTTTAGTATTTTAGTAGCAGATGAATATAGTGTAGAAGTAGTGATTATTATACTTCTTTCGTCGAAATTGCATTTTTCTTTAATATTTTCCTTCCCTGAGGTCTGTAATAAAAATGTTCATTAGCATAAAAAGTTATTCAGGTGGTCACTTGTTGAATTCTTATATTTCGGAACCATGTATTTCTTTTTCATATCAAGAAAAGGAAACCTAAAAAAAATAACAATAAACTTTACAAAGATGTGATATTAAAATAATAATAAGTAATTAACCTTTACTATAATCATTATGAGATGAATGAAGACGAACTTAGCTGGAGTTTACTTGCTCTTAATTTTAATTTTTTGATAAGAAAATAAGAAAGTAGGTGATTGCCTAATGCACCGCCTCTGATAATTAGGTTGTGTCTGTACTTGCTTATGATATTATCTTGAAGAAGTATTTTCAACAAGCCTTTTACACATAAAGCATGTTTTCACCATATTATTATAGATAATAAATCTTAAATATACATTTACAACCCTTACAACGTTATAAATAATAATATTTTCCGTAAAATACAAATAAGAAATTGACAAGTGTCAGAACTGGCGCTGTCAAACTTGGCAACGTTGATTAAATAAGCCAATTACAGAAGAGGTATTTCCCCCCTCGGGGGGAGTAGATGTTGCTAACAAAATTTAGCGCGGGGAAGGGGGGAAGACTCCCTCTAGTAGTAATTGCCGAGAATACCGATCAAGGAGAAGCGACAGCTTGGTGTTTTCAGTGTACCGTTTTGTAACGCGCATGTGCGAAAATAAGTTGTGTATCACTCAAAATTATGTTGTCTGTCAAAGTCAGTCCAAGTTGTGTTTAGTACGTGAGCAATGTTAAGTAATATTTTTTGGTGTTTGTTTTGTGTAGTAATAAGATGAAGATTTTTACAAACTTAATTATTCTAATACAGATATAATATGTGCCCAAAAAGTTATTGTTATTAGGAAACTAAGAATTTTATCACATGCATAAGTATATTAAGTATAATGATTTAATCATTTTTGACATTTTATTTTTTATATGTAGGTATTGTATTTTGTGAAATATATGTTTTTCTTCTTTTCAATAAATTTAATAAACAATGAACTGCAGATTTTGTTTATTTTATTTTGAAATTATATTTAAAAAAATGTAATAAATTCGCGTGTTTCAATTAGGATTGGTCAAAGTGGGCGAAATCCCTATTATAGCTAAATTGTAAGTTACAATTATGTCAATATAAAGATGTTTTGCCCATTCATATTTACATTTATTGAATGAATCATACTGGAGTTGATTTTGGAAATATTGGTGCATACTTAAATAAGTACTATTTCTAAAAATTCGTCTATGCACACATAGTCCAATGGACGTCCACTTTAGATCTATTTGAGGGTCAGGACGTCCATATCCGGGCATCCAGTGTATGTCCGTTTATGCTAATTAAATTGACAGCTGAATATCGATACCCAGAGAACGTATGTTTTTGGACTTAATTTTAAGTTTAGTAGTATTTTGCGTTCAGTGGACGTCCATCTTAGGTCATTATTTATTAAGCCTACCAGATAATACCCATTTATATAAACTTCTTTTTTTTAATATAATTGGTCATTAAAAATTGACAAATTGAATCTATTGCATTTCATTCTATCAGCGGAAGTTTGAAATCTTATTCAATTATAACTGTATCTAGTAAAAAGTTTTCAAGTGGTTTCTTGGTCGAGCTCGTCTAGCGATTGAAAGCGTAAAACGATCATGGATGTGTCGTGAATTTAATTCCTGCTCAGGTCAAGCAATTTTTAATAAAAAAATAAATAAATGGTGTATAGCGGTTTGCGAAAATAATAAACAAATTATTAATAATATAAAATAGTGTGTGGTGAGTTGCGGTCCTGTAAAAAAAGTGGGGATGTGGTCTCAATGGAAATATAATCCTGGACGTTTTTTGAATGTCCAGTATTCGACGTCTAAATATATTCTAGAATTGGACGTCCTCTGAATGGTCAAAAGTGTGCCATTTGTATACTTCACTGGACGTCCATTGGATGTCGGAAGTCCAGAAAACTCATTTATTGTATATCGAATGGAGTCCAATGGACATATTTGTATTGTCTGGGTGATAGCCAGGCCAGGTATTTAACTTTAAATACTTAAACCTTAAATGACATCTGGTTTAACTTGGCAAAAAAAACACTTGTTTATACAGAAATGAGTGATAAACTTGAAAGTCCTTTTAATATAATATAAATCTAGAAATTCTAAAAAAATGTAAGTACTTTTTAAACCTAAAAGCTTTGAACATATATGCACATTGCAAATATTTAGTTGAACCTCTCAAACTTAATGTCTTTTTAATTGTTACCTAAATTTTTTTTGGCACCCTTAATTTTATTTACCTTATTTTTACTTAAGGAAAAGGTAATTTAAATATGGGGCTTTTATTACATTTTTAACAATAAATAAACCAAATATTGAACAAATTTTATAGATAAATTATAAAATAATAAACGTCTTTTACTTTTATAACAAATAATTAATTATTACATAATGAATTATATTTTGGTGCCGAAATTTCACCATTGATATTAACCATAGATATATATTAACACTAACCACTTCAATGTAATTAAATCACATTGCAACATTTGCGCATGGACTATAACAATAATTTCAGATGATTTGCCAAACTATTTCGCTCAGTGTAGAAAATAAGCATGTTTTCTTCATCAGGGTCAGCTGGTATTTTATCTTTGTCGTGTACATTATTTCCTTATAACGTTATCTTGTTCTCATAAGCTAAAAGATAGGGTAGATGTCGCTGGTAACGTTCCAGCAATGTTGCCGTTATGAACATTTTCCAAATTTGTTTCTTTTACATTTAAATAATAATGATCTTATTTATCCATAAGTAATACTTATATTGGACTTTTAATTTCTTTGTATATAATATATATAACAAAAGATGTGTTTTAAGAAATATATAGCAGGATTCTGTACAAAGATCAAAAATAAAAAGTCAATAGCACTAGAAGAAAATAAGTTTGGCATCACAGCACGAGCATTTCACTTTGACGTCTGCCAGATTGACGTATTTCTAACCTATCATTTTATCTCCTTCTTCTTCTTCTTCTTTTCTTTTTTTGGGCTATGTAATTTTATCTCCTTGTCCAATTTTTTGTTTCTATGTGTGGTGACTTTGGTGTCGTTTTACTTATATATATTTTACAATTTAACTTGTAAATTCATTTTTTTGGTTGTTTTTCATTCATTATTAGTTACGTATTTAAATTTGTTAGTTTAGTGTTTTCCCCGGTAAATGATATTTTTATCGTGGTGTTTTCATATTAGGTAGTTTTAAGTTTGTTTACAAACCCGAAGGAACTAACAATGCCCGGATCTCGCCGGGATTTTGTTTAATTTCCGTAAAGTAAGTATTTCAATTTTATTGTAGAACCTTTGTGGTGTGAATGTTTATTATTGTTTAATACAGAATATATCTTATTATTGAAATCATACTTCGTTTTATTTTCCTTTTTAATGCTTTTTATTTTGTGTGCCTAAAAAAAATGAGTTTTTTTCTGATTTGATGTGCTAGTAAATGTGAATTACATATTTATTCACATTTCAGTGCATCAAATCAGAAAAAAATCATAAAAATAATACATAAAGTGGATCTACATATTTGAATTTCCCGCGGTTCTTCTTTTTAAAAAAAAATTATAATTGACCGGTTGCTTATAAAGAAAAAGGCCACTATTTAAACACAAGGTATACCAGCGCCATCGGCCTTATCTTCCAGTCCTCCGAGCAATTACTCGGAGTTCCAGTCCAATCGCCCAGTCAATTCTTGGTGAAAAGCAAAATTGCATTGAGTTAACCGTCTCATTAGTTGTCTCTGCTTGCACCGTATAGTAATCAAAGTATGTGCTGGATTTTTATTAGTTTGTCATAAACGTCATTTTAACAGCGTTTTGTCAATAATTATAAAAATTATCAACCAATGTCTCACAGATGCGAGCTCCACGACGAAAAAGAACGCAAAAATTCATTTCTACGTCCTTATGCCGCTTCAAAATTCAAATCAAGATTATTATCATGCCTGATGATATCAGAGAAGAATCGCTACTGCGCTCTATACTTCAAAAGCGAAGAATCGATTATAAAAGAAAAAATACGCCATATAGAATCAGGTTACACCTATATTATCCATCCTTTAAGCGTTTTTAACGAATGGTACGAATTTTGGTTGTTGTTTTATTATTTATTAGCCATTTCGATTAAGCTGCTAGATTCTGGAGTAAGAGATCCTGATACTATGTGTACAGACACAAAAAAAACTATTTTCGATGATGCTGATAAAACGTTTATCATCTACGTTGTATTTTCTACAGTAATGGATGTTTTAAATTGGATCGACATTGCTGTTAGTTTTTTAACAGGATATATGAACGAACATACAGGATTGGTTGAATTGAATCCTGGAAAAATAGCCAAGAACTACATGAAAGGTCTGTTTTTTATCACAAGCGTATTAACAGCTTGTCCAAGGTTTCTATTTTATGCGTTTTATGATCAGCCACCTATGATACTATTAGGAATACAAGTTTCATTGTCTCTACTAAGAGGATTGAGGATAATTTCTGTAATGACACTGTCTAAAAGGTTTTTACCAAGCAATTCAATTGTAGCTATGATTATAATACGTTGGAGCATATTATTCGCTTTTGTGGTACACATGAGTACTATGATTCACCTCACAGTACGTCGAGTATTTAGATTTTACTTTGGATTAGGAATATGTCGTAATATATTACAAATCGAACACATGCAGCTGTACGAGGTATATCCAAGATATATGTTCGGAGCTTCTGCTTTCCTTTTATCCATAGCTCTTCCTAATGAATTTTTAAAACAAATAAACACCTCAGAAGGGTATGTACTAGCCATACTTAGTTACATTACTGGAAAAATCTTCGTCGCAGGAACTTGGGTTGTTACTGTTTCTATATGTTTAACCCACAATTCTCTCAGAATAAAATACCAGAATCTAATGAAACAAATCGAGGAGTATATGCTTCAAAAAAATTTACCTATACCGTTAAGAAAACGAATACAGGAGTATTACTATTTTAAATACCATGGAAAATACTTCAAAGAAGACGCTTTGAGCTTTCTACTATCAAACCCTTTAAAAAAAGAAATCAATTTGCATGTATGTAAAACTCTTATAGCAAAAGTTGACATTTTAAGACATCTAGAAACTCATAAAGTCAGCAAGTTAGTTGAATATCTAATACCAGAAATATACTTACCACAAGATATTATTATACAATCTGGTAGTGTACAAGATTCTTTATTCTTCATATCCAGCGGTACAGTCGCTGTATATACTCATTCAGGAAAAGAGGTCTGTCATCTTCAAGATGGAAGATATTTCGGTGAAATCGATTTGATACTCAAGAAAGAACAAAAGTGCATCACTACCGTGATCGCTGTGGAAATATGTCAAATTTATCGTTTGAGAAAGGTTGATTTTGAAAAAACTTTGCTGTCGCAAAGAAAAGTTATGCGAGAAATTATAACGTATGCCGAAAGTCAATTGGAATATATTACGATGGAAGAAAAGAAGTATAAAGAACAGTTGTTTGAGAAGACTTATACTGCTCCATAATTATTAATATAATTATAGACTTTATATGTCTGAAAAAATGGTTAATGTGTTAATTATTTATGTACTTTACAAATGTTTTGTTCTATACAATTTCTGTACAGTTTTAACGTAGAAAATTGTATATTTTGGAAAATAAAATTTTTCTGCTTAAAAGAAATGACGTACAGTTTGAGTTAATTTTATTTTATGCTGTTTCAAACAACATCAAAACAATCTAGCAGTGAGCAAGCAAGCACAGCTTTGGATTTTAATATATTATTACCACTGGTTTTTGGTAACTCAGTTTATTAACAACTCAACTTCCATTGAGATCAGTATCCTTTAGTTCAACTATATTTAACTATCTCTTTCTAAGTAGGTCTGACTCCATTTTTGAGCTATTTTTAGAGAACCTTCAAGTCATTGTCTTTTGATTCTTATGCTTTCAAGGCTGCTTTCGTCTTAGTTGTCCTCTGGCTTGATAGTGGTTGCCTGCTTCTCTGTCAACAAGCACTAGGGAATGTCAGTTTTTTTGGAGTGAGGGTAGCCATATGTGAGTAGTAGGGATTAAGTGTAAGGGGTTAAAGAAAAGGTCCTTTATTTCTCACAAGTCAATTTAATTGGCGACCGGTTTCGAAGCTGTCACTTCATCAGGCACACCTTGACTATTTCCATAAAGGAAGCGCTACATAAAGTTTAACAAAACGAGTTAAAAAAGTCATATGTAATACAATAGTATTTTTTATTTTTTAAAAAATATTTTAGGTTAGGTTAAACCGCGAGATGTCTGTTTGAATAAATTAATTAAAACACATATAAGACAATTATTAACTAAACAACACAAAAAAAATATAATATAATATAATTAATTTATTCAAACAGACATCTCGCGGTTTAACCTAACCTAAAATATTTTTTAAAAAATAATAATAATAATAACGGGTCTTTATTTGCACAAAATAATTACATTTTTGTACAGTTAGCATGGGCGAGGTTTAGCCTGTGGCTATTCTTACACCTAACCCTAACAAAACATATACATTTAAATAACTATAATATTAAAAGTTTATCAATACAATTTGACATTAGTAGCTCATTATATCTACCAGTTTACATTTGACTAATAAAGAGTTGCCTTTTTAAAGCATTTTTAAAAACAGGTAGAGATCGTGATTTTTTAATATCGGTATGTAAAGTGTTGTACAGAACAACCGCGTTATACGAAAAACTACGATTATAAATAGCACTAGAGTGACGAGGCATTGATAAATTAAAATTGTTTCTTATGTTTACATTGTGCGTAGACGATCTAAAAGTTAATTTGCTCATAAGATATAATGGTGACGCAGTAGAAAGTATTTTAAAAAGAAAAGAAAGAAACCTAAATCTATATAAATTATTAACAGTTAGCCAGCCAGTTTGGGAGAAGGCTTGGGAAATATGATCGAATTTTCTAAGCCCTTTTGCGAATCTGCAGCATGTATTCTGCATAATTTGCAAACGGTTACGATCAGCAGCTGTTAAACAAGGATAATACACAACAATTCCATATAATATTTTTGAAATTACAAGGCTTTGGCAAAGTTTTAGTTTTATAGATTGGTTCTGTAGGATGTGTTTATTAGAATAAAGCAAGCGAAGACCACTATAACACTTTTGTAACACATAGTTGACATGTTGACTGAACCTCATTTGATCGTCAAAGTATAACCCTAAATTTATAGACTCAGTTTCATGTGGAATAGATTCACCAGATATCATCAGAGTTGTATTGTTCTTTATATATTGTCTAATATTTTTACTACAGAATAATAATAGTTTGGATGTCGAAGCATTAATGTGAAGGTTATGATCAGACGAATAGTTATCAATTTTTTTAAGATCTTGATTAATCTTATCAACTGCAGTAATGACTTCATTCGACGAAAAATCGAGGAACAGCTGAGTGTCATCAGCAAAAAATTGGACTGCACAATTATTTACGTGTTTGTAGAAATCCGAAGTATAGAGTAAGAAAAGCAGGGGCCCTAGGACTGAACCTTGTGGTACACCAGATTTGATTTGAATGGATGTTGATTTCTGACCGTTTACTGTAACTAACTGTGATCGTTTACTTGCATAATATTGACACTTGGATATAAGAAGACTATGATTAATGGTGTCAAATACTTTGCTAAAATCTAGTAGAACTAGGACACCTGCTTTTTTCTTATCAATACTATTGAAAATATTGTCACTTAAATGTGCCAAAGCTGTTGAAGTACTGAAACCTTTTTGAAAACCCGACTGATGCAAAGGGATTATATTATTTTCACAAAGATATTCGTATATTTGGAAATAGGCTGCACGTTCAAGAATTTTTGAAATTAGAGGCAGTAGACTTATTGGACGCAGTTCATTGTATGAACTAGGATTGTGCTTTTTAGGTAAGGGTATTATCAAAGCTTGTCTCCAACATTCTGGGAAATATCCTTGTTCTAAACATAAGTTTATAATATGTAGCAGATAAACATCAATAATATTTAGACACAATTTTAACATTGACATGTTTATATTGTCATTACCACCAGCATTTGATTTTATATTCAAAATGATAGTGTAGAGTTGAGATAGTGTTATTGTTTTGAAGTGAAATTTAATATCTCTACTAAAGGAGTTACTTCTATAAAATAAAATTGAATCCAAGCATCTTTCATTACTGTCTTGGAACACAGAGGAAAAATATTCATTAATTTTAAAAGGATTGGAAAGTGAGGAAGGTAAATCGATATTTTTTGTCGATTGAATTTTCATTTGTTTTAGCGCTTTGTAAAATTTAGAAGACGACTGGTTGTTTAAAAATTCTAGATACGCAGATTTTTCTCGTCTCAAGGATGCTAAAGCAAAGTTGCGAAGTCTTTTGTAATTGTTCCAGTTTTCAGTGGATTTATTTAATTTAAATTTTTTTAGGGCAGTATCTCGTTCTTTAAATATGAGTTTTAATGTAGGAGTTAACCAAGGTGCTTTAAATTTACTTATTCTAGCTGTTCGAAAAGGAGCGTGTTCATCGAAAATTGTAGATATTGCATTTGTTAAATAGTGTACCTTACTTTCAATATCATTAAGATACAGAAGGTTATCCCAATGAATACTGCGTAGGCATTGCTCAAAAACTGAAGAATCAAAGTTTTGATAATCTCTATAAGTTAAAAATCTTTGTTTCTGATAACTATAATCAATTAATAAATCGCAATATACCATTTGGTGATCGGTGAAATGATCAACATTTATAGTACCATGGCTTGTGCAATTATTGTAACAGTTTAAAAAAATTGGATCTATTAATGTAGAGGAGTGATCAGTAATGTATGTAGGCTCGTCTATGACTTGAGTGAGGCTATGGGCATTAAAACACGAAATTAATGAATTTGTACTGTTAAAAAGATCCACATTAACATCCCCAAGAATTAAAATTTTATCACAACTTGTAAGTATGATTGGTAAAATATTATCTAAGCAATGTATAGCTTGATTTAAATTTTCCCGCGGTGGTCTGTACAACACAGAAAGTATCATTATTAATTTTAAAATTGATCCATAAATGCTCTAAACAAGAATTAAAATAATTATGAAAATCTATGATTTTGAAACTCAAAGAAGACCTAATGTAGATGCCAACCCCTCCGCCATGGCGATTGCGATCATTACGAACAAACGAATATCCCCGAATATTTACATCGGAATCGGAGACATCAGATGACAACCAGGTTTCCGAAACCGCCATAACATCAAATTCATAATTATTTATGATATTTATCAAATCAGTGATACTAGTTAGTAATGATCGCGTATTTACATGGCCAATGCGTAATTCACATTTACTAATTTTTTTCTTAACCATAATTAATTTTAGATTTAAGACGATTTAAATAATTTATAAATACAGGACAAGTTTTATCATCAGCGGAGTGACCAGCATCAAATTTCGTTTTAAATTTAATGTTATGAGTGACACAATTGATACATTTTTTTATAGTAGAACTACATGTTCCAGGGTTGTGCTCTTTTGAACATACCCCACATTTTTGTACAAAATTACAATTTTTTTCTATGTGACCAAAAGACAAGCATTTTTTGCACTTCAAAATTCTGATATGATCGCTAAAATAACATTTTTTCCATCCGATATATAAAAAGCCTTTTGTAAAAATGAAATTTCTTAAAGAAGGTGTTAGTTCTAAAACTAGATTTATATTATTATAAAATTTTAGTTTTGTGACAATTTTTAATTCAGTTTGACTAAAGTCTTCTAAATCATTTAATGAAAAAATTTCATTTATGATGTCTTCATCTTTATACTTATATCTTTAAAAAATACTATTGTATTACATATGACTTTTTTAACTCGTTTTGTTAAACTTTATGTAGCGCTTCCTTTATGGAAATAGTCAAGGTGTGCCTGATGATGAAGTGACAGCTTCGAAACCGGTCGCCAATTAAATTGACTTGTGAGAAATAAAGGACCTTTTCTTTAACCCCTTACACTTAATGTCAGTTTTGTTTGTACATTCTGTATGATTTTATATTCCCAGGGCATATTTTTAAAATTTCTATAGCAGTGGTCGCCAACCTCTCAATGTGTTGAGCTGCTTTGTTAATTTTGGAATAAACAGCGAGCTACCTACACGAAAGCCACGTAACGCAACATAAATGAAATAATCCACAGTTAATTTATCATTATATGTATTTATTTTACTATTTAACTGGTAATACATAATACATAGATACTAATAATAAACTAATAACAAAATAACTAATATTACTAGTACGTACTTGTTCATAGCTATATTCCTACCTACCAAACGAAGGTGTTTGGAAAATAAACACAAATTTTTATCCAGCCACAACGGCATGTCACGTAAGATTTAAAAATAGTTAATAATAACAACAAAAAAGTAACGCACTATCATAAACATAAACATTGAAAAATAAAAAAGCACGTTCAATGAAAAGGCTGACACTCAGACTCATCGATAATTTTTTTTAATGTTTGCAGTATAATTTGATACAGCCATTCGAATACAATTATCCAAATGTTCATCTGTAAGTCGATTGCGATATTTGTTCTTAATAAACTTCATATTGGAAAAAGAAGATTCACACAAATAGGTTGAACTGAATAATGCTTTCA